GCCGCAAAAGGCCCTACCCTACCCTACCAATATACATACCCTACCCATACCCTAGTCCTACCCATACCCTACCCATACCCTACCCTACGATTACCTTATACCCTACCATACCGAACTTTACCCTATCATACCCAACTTTACCCTACCCTACCCAAACGGCAAACCTACCTCTACCCTATCCTACCCATACCCAAAACTACCTCTATCCTTTACAATACCCTACCCATACAATACCCTACCCTACCCTACCCTACCCTACCCTACCCTACCCATACCCTACCCTTCCCATACCGTACCCTACCTATACCCGGCATACTCATGCCCTACTCATACTTGACCAAAGAGTTTCACAACATTTGAGTGCTGTCGTCCTACCGGTTCTTGAGATATATAAATGGGCCCCTGCACGTGCGCACGCGCTTACTGAGACTCCAGATGACTTATGTAAGCCACCTGTCTAAATTGTCCCTAACAGTGTACAAAATGTGAGTGAAATCGGCCCAGCCGTTCTTGAGATGTAGAAAGGGACCCCACACGTGCGCACGTGCATGAGTCCACCCCACCTGTGACACATGACCGTACATCGCTTGGTGAGTGCCTTGCCTGCCGAAAGTCCAAGTTTCAGCGCAATCGGCCCAGAAACGACTGAGTTATATGCAAGTACAATTTTCAAGGGTTTGCGATATCCCTAAGCGGGCGGTGCCTTGCAGCCTATGCCGTGCTGACTGATAGTCAAATGTTTAATGACATGCCGGCTATAAGCCATCGATCGGATTTCATCGGAAAATATGTCTAACGTTAACAAAACACTGTGGTATGCCTGAGTCATTTTCACGGTAGTTTATTGACTTTTTGATAATATTTTGGGTGGATATTGATCAGAAAAGAATGCGCTATCCGAATATGTGCGTTTCATGGTCAATTTTTAACGTTTTCGATGCGTTATGATGTTGTAAAGGACAGCGCACTCTGCGCGCATCACACTTTCAAATAAATTTTTCATTATTAAGGAAGTGGTAGTAAAAATCACTTTTTCTTTTCATTCATTGCATCACACGTGCAATTACCTAAAAAATGGTGCCATACCGATTTCATTCGGCCAAACCGTTTTCAAACGGCACCGATTTTATGTCTACGAGGCACGAAATCGTCCATTTCTGTACAACAAAAGGTCCTGATGTGCACGTGACGCGACCAACGTTATAAAACTATATCAATACGGTAGCTTTATCTCTCCTCTATCGATCGGTGGCAACCGCGTGTCGCTGTGACCACCGGTCGTCAAGATATAGGCCCGGAGAGGAGCAGGCGTCGGAGCGATTTCGGCCGATGTCGCCGTTTTTCGCGCCCCGTGTTAAACCAATGGCGAGCGTGCCTCGTGCTCGCGACCCTGCCAGAGACGCACCCTTGGTCGGATCGCGCCCAAATTTTAATACCATCGTTCGATTTGACCACGCTTGGTGCCTGCCAAATTTCACGCCCCTACATGGCGCCGTTCCGGCGCAAGACACCCAGATGTGGATGACACTTTTCGTTTGTGACACACAGACAACTTCTCTTTTATAATATATCCGACTAGAATACAGGTTTACGCGATAACTTTACGTTTGGATAGATACTGGAGATGGGGCCATTAGTTTGGTTGTCAAAACTTTTATGTTTATATAAGTAGGGTTGAGTTTGATAGTTACTTTATTAAATTGTGTAATAGGTGGGTGTGGCTTTTCGAGGAGCACTACGGATCCAAAAGTTTGGACATTTAAGTATTAAAAAAAAACACGCCCGCCCGCCGCCAACCGCAAACGCCGCAAAAATAAAAAGCGACCGCCTCCAACCGCAAACAACACCACAAACGCCGCAAAAAATAAAAGCCGCCCGCATCGCGCGCCCGCCCGCCGCCAACCGCAAACGCCGCAAAAAATGAAAACCGCCCGCATCGAACGCCCGCCCGCCGCCAACCGCAAACGCCTCGAAAAAAAAAACGGTCGCCCGCCGCCAAACGCTAAAACCGCAAAATGCGCCAAAGGCACGTCCGAAATGCCGACGCAAACGTCGCAAAAATAAACAATCGCCCGCCCAACGCAAAAACGCAAAAACGTCTAAAAAACCGCCCGCATCGCCCGCCCGCCCGCCGCCAAACACAAACACCGCCGCAAAAAACCGCCCGCATCGCACGCCTGCCCGCCGCCAGCCGCAAAACGCCGCAAAAAAACAGCCGCCCGCCGACAAACGCAAACACCGCAAAAACGCAAACACCGCCGCAAAAAAACCCGCATCGCACGCCTGCCCGCCGCCAACCGCAAAACGCCGCAAACGCCGCAACAAAGGAAACCGCCCGCATCGCACTCTCAACCGCCGCCAATCGCAAAAGCCGCGAAAGGCCCAACCCTACCCTACTAATATACATAACCTACACATACCCTAGTCTTACCCATACCCTACCCTACGTTTACCTTATACTCTACCATACCCAACTTTACCCTACCCTACCCGAACGGCAAACCTACCTCTACCCTATACCTTACCAATCCCATACTTAACCCTACCCTACCCATACCCAAACCTACCTCTATACTTTACACTACCCTACCCATACAATACCCTACTCTAACCTACCCATACGTACCCTACCCTACCCTACCCTACCCATAGCCTACCCTACCCATACCCTACCCTTCCTATACCGTGCCCTACCTATACCCGGCATACTTACGCCCTACTCATACTTGACAGAGGAGTTTTACCAAATTTGAGTGCTATCGTCCTACCTGTTCTTGAGATATATAAATGGGCTCCTGCACGTGCGCACGCGCTTACTGATACTCCAGATGAGTTATGTGAGCCACCTATCTAAATTATCCCCAAAAGTGTACAAAATTTGAGTGAAATCGACCCAGGGATTCATCAGATGTAGAAGCAGACCCCCTCACGTGCGCGCGTGCATGAGTCCACCCCACCTGTGACACATGACCCTACATCGCTTGGTGAGTGCCCTGCCTGCCGACAGTCCAATTTTCAGCGCAATCGGCCCAGAAACGGCTGAGTTATATGCAAGTACAATTTTCAAGGGTTTGCGATATCCCTAAGCGGGCGGTGCCTTGCAGCCTATGCCGTGCTGACTGATGGTCAAATGTTTAATGACATGCCGGCTATAAGCCATCGATCGGATTTCATCGGAAAACATGTCTAACGTTAACAAAACACGGTGGTATGCTTGAGTCATTTTCACGGAAGTTTATTGACTTTTTGATAATATTTTGGGTGGATATTGATGAGAAAAGAATGCGCTATCCGAATATGTGTGTTTCATGGTCAATTTTCAACGTTTTCAATACGTTATCGTGTTGTAAACGACAGCGCACTCGGCGCGCATCAACCTTTCAAATGAATTTTACATTATTAAGGAAATGGTAGACATAATCACTTTTTGTTTACCATCATCCATTTTCTCATATATTTACCTAAAAAATGGTGCCACACCGATTTCATTCGGTCAAACCGTTTTCAAACGGCACCGATTTTTCCTCCACGAGGCACGAAATCGGTCATTTTTTCACAACAATGGGTCCTGATGTGCACGTGACGCGACCAACGTTATAAAACCATGTCAATACGCTAGCTTTATCTCTCCTCTATCGATTGGTGGCAACCGCGTGTCGCTGTGACCACCGGTCGTCAAGATATAAGCCCGGAAAGGGACACGGCTCGCACCGATTTCGGCCGACGGCGCCGTTTTTGGCGCCCCGTGTTAAACCAATGGCGAGCGTGGCTCGTGCTCGCGACCCTGTCAGAGACGCACCCCTGGTCGGATCGCACCCAAATTTTAATACGATCGTTCGATTTGACCACGCTTGTCGACTGCCAAATTTCACGCTCCTACATGGCGCCGTTCCGGCGCAAGACACCCAGATGTGGATGACACTTTTCGTTTGTGACACACAGACAACTTCTCTTTTATAATATATATCCGACCAGCCGTTCTTGAGATAGGAAACTGCTCCTTTCCAGGTGTGCACGTGCATTAGCATTTAGCACCCTACATATGGTAATGTGTCGTTCGATATGTGCCCGTTGACAGTCCCAAAATTCAGCACAATCGGCCCGGTAGCGGCTGAGTTATTGCAAGAATAAATTTATTTTATTTACTGGCGAATTCCCCTGGCGAGAGGTGCCTTCCGGTACCGTTTGTTGTCAGTGGTTGAATGCCTGCCTGCCGAAGCCACCGATTTCGTCGAAAAATACCCGTAACGTTAACGAAACGCGGTCGTCTGTTTGAGTCATTTTCACAAAAGTTTATTGACTTTTCGATAATATTTTGGGTGGATATTGGTCAGAAAAGAATGCTCTTTCCGAATATGTAGGTTTCATAGCGATTGATCAGCGTTTTCAATACGTTTTGATGTTGTAAAGGACGTCGCGCTCCGCGCGAATCAAATTTTCAAATTAATTTTTGATTATTAAGGAAATGGTACGGATCATCAGCTTTTGTTTGCTATTCTCTGATTACACATACATTTGTCTGCAAAATGATACAACACCGATTTCATTCCGTCAAGACGTTTTCCAGCGGCATCGATTTTCCCGTCACAATGCACGAAATCGGTCATTTTTTCACAACCGGGGATGCTGTCTTGCACGTGGCGCGTGCTACACTATGAAACCATATCAATACGCTAGGCCCATCTTTCCTCTATCCATTGGTGGCAACCGCTTTTCGCTGCGTCCACCCATTGCCGAGATATCAAGCCGGAAAGCGAGCCGTGTCGGCCCGATTTTCGGCCGACCGCCGCTCTCGCCGACACCATGCTATCCCTATGAGAGCGCCCTTTTGCACGTGCCGACGGCGCACCCCTGGTCCGATCACGCCCAAATTTTAATATAAAGGCCGCCCATGCCCACAGATTCGGCATGCCAAATTTCACGTCGCTACGTGCCGCCGTTCCGACGCAATAAGACACATAAGTCATGACACACGGATGGATGGATGGAGAACGTGTCATAACCGGCTCTCGCCTCTACCGGCGGCCTCCCTCCCTCTCCCTCTCTCCCTCGCATACTGGTCACCCCTCTCGTCCCAGTGGACTCGCCCGGTGCCTCGGGCAGTATCTGTGACACGACCTCGGGTGAGCGGCCGGGAAGCAATACAGTTTTGAACGGGACGCCGTGCTGTCTACTTCAATGGCGACGAGGCGGTGAACGTGTGCGCCGCGCGGTGATTAGTGGCAAGGGAAGCAGTGATGGCGTCAGTGAGCCGGGCGCCCGAGTTTGATGCGGCAGTGGAGTCGTTCGGCGCGTACAGCAGGCGTCTCGAACAGCACTTTGTCGCCAACAGCGTCGGTGAAGATGAAGTCGAGAAGCGCCGCGCCATACTGCTGAGCGCGGTTGGCGCCAGCACCTTCAGCCTCCTGGAGGACCTCATAGCCCCAGCCGCAGTGGGAGACAAAACGTTCAAGGAGCTGGTGAAGATATTGGTCGACCACTTTGAACCGCAACAATCTGCAATTGTCTCCAGATTTCGGTTTCACTCCTGCACTCGCGATGCTGGAGAGTCAGTGTCGTCGTTTTCGGCGAGGCTCCGCAAGCTTGCGAAGCCCTGCAAGTTTCAGCCAGGCCAGCTGGACGAGATGCTTCGTGACCGACTGGTTTGCGGTATTCAGCATGAGCGGCTGCAATCACGTCTGCTGAGCGAGCCGCGGCTGACTCTGGACACGGCTCTGGAGATCGCTCAGGCCCACGAGTCGGCAGCAGCCAGTGCAGCCGAGCTCAGCGGCCGCTCCGAGTCGTCTGCCGTCATCGGACGGGTCGATGGGACACCACGGAGGATGGTGAACGACAGCCGACCAGCCCTGGTGAACGACAGCCGGCGAGCACTGGTGAACGACAGTCGGCGAGCACTGGTGAACGACAGCCGACCAGCCCTGGTGAACGACAGCCGGCGAGCACTGGTGAACGACAATCGGCGTCCCCTGGACACCGGCGGGGCTGCCTCCCGCGCTCCGCCGGCGCGGGGTGCCTGCAGCCGCTGTCTCAGCCGACGGCACGTCCCGGCGGCCTGCCCCTTCCGCTCGCAGAACTGTTATGCGTGCGGAGCCGTGGGCCACACCAGAGCGGCCTGCCGGAGCCGCGCCGAGTCTCAGCGTGTCCGGCTGCTGGAGGAGGAGGAGCAGCCGGAGCCGTCCGTGACGCCTGGGACTTCTCAGAGTGGCGCGGCGCCCCACAATGACGGTGAGGACGAGCCATATTACTTGTTCCGTGCTCAAGGGGTGCAGTTGGGAGTAGATCGTAAACCACCACTAATGGTTGATGTATGTGTGGACGGCTGCCCGCTGCGTATGGAGTTAGATACGGGAGCTGCATTGTCTGTTTGCTCAGAGAAAGTGTTCAAGGGTACTTGGCCGGTCGGTGGGCCCCATCTTAGGCCATGTGACAAACTGTTGAAAACTTACAGCGGTGAGGTGTTAGGGGTGTGTGGTCAGGCGATGGTGGATGTTCAGTATGGCGGGCAGCGAGCGCAGCTGCCGCTGGTGGTAGTTAAGGGCGAGGGACCATTTCTTTTTGGTCGAAACTGGCTGTCGACCATACGACTTGACTGGCCCTCCATATGTCAGCTTACCGACCGCTCTCGGGCTCAGACGCTCGTTCAGGAGTTTTCTGAAGTTTTCAGCGATGGTTTGGGGTGCTATCGTGGCGCTGAGGTGACCATTTCGGTGGATCCCGATGTGAAGCCGAGATTCTTCAAAGCTCGCACAGTCCCACTGGCATTCCGCGAGCAGGTGGATGCCGAGCTGGAGAAACAGATCCAGCAAGGACTGTGGGAGCCAGTGGAGCACAGTAAGTGGGCCGCCCCCCCTAGTCGTCGTGCCAAAACCCGGGGGAAAGATCAGGTTATGTGGGGACTATCGCCTCACGGTCAACAGGGTGGCCAAGGTGGACCAATATCCGCTTCCACGCGTGGAAGAGCTGCTTACACGCTTAACAGGCAGTAAGGTCTTTTCAAAGATAGACCTTAAGTCCGCGTACAACCAGATGGTTCTCGATCAGAATTCACGTGACTTTCTGACCGTAAACACACAGAGGGGATTGCTGAGACCCACGAGACTTAGCTTCGGGTACGCTTCAGCCCCGTCCCTGTTCCAGAGAACCATGGACACGCTGTTAGCGGGGATACAGGGTGTGTGTGTGTTCCTCGATGATGTTGTCGTGGCGGGTGAGACTGTGGAAAGTCATGATGTAGCGCTGCGTGAGGTGTTGCGCCGGCTGCGTGAGGCGGGTCTCAGGGCGAACCGGGACAAGTGCTGTTTGGGCGTGGACAGCGTAACGTACCTGGGTCACAAGGTCAGCGGGAGCGGCGTGGAGACGACTGAGGAAAAGGTCGCTGCCATCACGGGCGCGCCAGAGCCCCGAGATGTCTCCGAGCTGCGGTGCTGGCTCGGCCTTATCAATTACTACGGAAAATTTTTGCAGGGTTTGGCCACCACCCTTTCGCCGCTGTATGTTCTGTTACGGAAAAATCGCCCTTGGCAGTGGACGCACATTGAAAGGAGAGCTTTTGAGGATGCGAAACGTTTGCTCAAAAGCCCTCCCGTTTTGGGACATTTTGACCCAAAACTCCCTGTGATTTTGGCATGTGACGCCAGTCCAGTGGGATTGGGGTGCATTCTTAGCCAGCAAACGAGGCAAGGGGAGAGACCGATCGCGTTTTATTCGCGCTCTTTAAACGAGACTGAAAGGCGCTACTCCCAGACCGACCGGGAGGGTTTGGCGGTGGTGGCCGGTGTAAAGAGGTTCCACTATTATCTGGCGGGCCGTCCGTTTTCAATACGGACCGATCATAAGCCCCTGCTGGGGCTGATAGGTGAGTCCAAGCCGCTCCCACTGATGGCATCGCCCCGGGTGGTCAGGTGGGCCCTTATGCTGGGAGCGTATGATTATCGCCTTGAATTCGTCCCCGGCGTTAAACAAACTCACTGTGACGCGCTCAGTCGGCTGCCCGTCCCGTCGTCGGTGGTCGGTCAGTCGAGCCCCGTTCCGGCGGAGACGATACATTTGATGGAGTTTTTAGACGCGTCTCCGGTCACTGTGGACCACATTCGCCGGTGGACCTCTAGAGACCCTGTCTTGGCTGTCGTGCTTCAGTATGTTCAGGAGGGCTGGCCGGATGACGGGGAGGTGCTGTCGCCAGATTTCCGACCTTTTAGGTCCCGTAAAGCCGAGCTGAGCATTCAGGATGGATGTATATTGTGGGGTTCGCGCGTTGTGATACCGCCACAGGGAAGGGCAAAAATTTTGAGTCTTCTACACGACGGGCACTGCGGAGAGACGCGCACCAAGTCTTTCGCAAGAATGTATGTGTGGTGGCCTAACCTCGATCAGGACATCACATCCATTGCACAGAATTGTGGCAAATGTCAGGCTTATCGTGCCAACGTACCTGAGACTCCGCTGCACCCATGGATTTGGCCATCAAAACCATGGGAGCGTGTGCACGTAGATTATTGTGGTCCAATTGATGGCTGGTGGGTATTAATTGTCATTGACGCTCATTCAAAGTGGATGGACGTGTTTCCGTCGCGATCATGCACGTCCGAGACCACCATAGAACATTTGCGCGCTTCATTTTCCTCGTGGGGGCTGCCAAAGACTCTTGTGTCTGACAACGCACAATGTTTCTTGTCTGAGACTTTTCAGACGTTCTGTCGCTCGAATGGCATTCACCATTTGACTTCTCCTGCACTGTCTCCGAAATCTAACGGTTTGGCGGAGCGTAGTGTTCAGACATTGAAAAACAGTATTAAAAAGCAAACATCGGGCACGATTCACACCAAAATAGCGCGTTTCCTGCTGCGCTATCGCACAACACCGCACACAACCACCCAGGTGTCCCCAGCGGCATTATTCCTTGGCAGGACGGTGCGAACCCCGCTGGATCTGGTCAGGCCTGATCTGAGTGGTAGAGTGAGGAAAAACCAGGACAAACAAAAACTGTACGCCGACAGGGGCTCCTATGAACGTTCCGTGTGCGTAGGCGATGCTGTGTTTGTGTCAGCCGTTGATCGTGTACAAAGTGCTGCTGGTTGTAAATGGCTGCCGGGTGTGATAGTGGTGCGGAAGGGAGTAAAACTGGCTGTTCAGTTGCAGGATGGGAGAGTGATCTGGAGGCATCTGGATCGGGTCCGGCCGCGCCGGACCATGGCCGACGTGCCGCCGCCGACCGCTGGACGGGCGCTGGACCTGGATCGGACGCGGCGGGACCTCTTTGATGCCGACGTACCGCCGAGGGCCGGACTGACGGCTCGGGCGGTGGCCCCGGCTGCTCCGGACGGGTCACCGTCGGTCCCGGCGGGCGGACCGCCGCCGGCGCCGCGATACAATCTGCGTCCGCGAGAGACGTTACGGCGGCCGGACCGGCTGTTGTGTGAGTGAAGTTTGTGAGCGCTCCGTGCCTGATATCGTTAAAAGTGACCAGAGTTTTGTTGTTACGTTAGTTGTGATTATGTTATATTGCGGGGTGGAGGGATGTCATAACCGGCTCTCGCCTCTACCGGCGGCCTCCCTCCCTCTCCCTCTCTCCCTCGCATACTGGTCACCCCTCTCGTCCCAGTGGACTCGCCCGGTGCCTCGGGCAGTATCTGTGACACGACCTCGGGTGAGCGGCCGGGAAGCAATACAGTTTTGAACGGGACGCCGTGCTGTCTACTTCAGAACGCACGGACATGTTATAAATCATAATATAGACTAGAATACAGGTTTACGCGATAACTGTACGTTTGGATAGATATTGTTGATGGGGCCATTAGTTTGGTTGTCAAAACTTGTATGCTTATATAGGTAGGGTTGAGTTTTATAGTTATTTATTTAATTGTAAGTAGGTAGGTATGGCTTTTCGAGGAGCACTACGGATCCAATAGTTTGGCCTTTGAATTATTTATAAAAACACGCCCGCCCGCCGCCAACCGCAAACGCCGCAAAAATAAAAAACGATCGCCTCCAACCGCAAATAACACCGTAAACGCCGCAAAAAATAAAAACCGCCCGCATCGCGCGCCCGCCCGCCGCCAACCGCAAACGCCGCAAAAATGAAAACCGCCCGCATCGCACGCCCGCCCGCCGCCAACCGCAAACGCCTCGAAAAACGGCCACCCGCCGCCAAACGCTAAAACCGCAAAATGCGCGAAAGGCACGCCCGACAAACGTCGCAAAAAATAAACAATCGCCCGCCCAACGCAAAAAACGCAGAAACTCCGAAAAAACGTCCGCATCGCACGCACGCAAACCGCCAACCGAAAACGCCTAAAAATCGCCCGCCCGCCACCAAAGGCAAACACCGCAAAAAAGCGCCCGCTCGCCCCAAACGCAAACACCGTAAAAAGGAAACAAAAAAGCGCCCGCCCGCCCCAAAACGCAAAACGCACTCCCGAAACACCAACGCAAACGTCGCAATAAATTAAAACAAATAAAAAATCGCCCGCTCGCCGCAAACCGCAAAACAAAACGCAAAAACGCCGCAAACAAAGCAAAACCACCCGCATCGCCCAACCGCCCGCCACCAAACACAAACACCGCCGCAAAAAAACTGCCCGCATCGCACGCCTGCCCGCCGCCAATTGCAAAACGCCGCAAAAAACGGCCGCCCGCCGACAAACGCAAACACCGCAAAAACGCAAACACCGCCGCAAAAAAACGCCCGCATCGCACGCCTGGCCGCCGCCAACCTCAAAACGCCGCAAACGCCGCAACAAAGGAAACCGCCCGCATCGCACACCTAACCGCCGACAATCGAAAAAGCCGCAAAACGTCCTACCTTACCCTACCAATATACATAACCTACCCATACCCTAGTCCTATCCATACCCTACCCATACCCTACCCTACGTTTACCTTATACTCTACCATACCCAACTTTACCCTACTCTACCCAAACGGCAAACCTACCTCTACCCTATACCTTACCATACCCATACTTTACCATACCCTTCCCATACTCAAACCTATCTCTATCCTATACACTACCCTACCCTACCTATACGTACTCTACCCTACCCTACCCATACCCTACCCTTGCCATACCGTATCCTACCTATAGCCGGCATACTCATGCCCTACTCATACTTGACCGAGGAGGTTTACCAAATTTGAGTACTATCGACCTACCTGTTCTTGAGACATGTATAAATGGGCCCCTGCACGTGCGCACGCGCTTAATAAACTCCAGATGACTTATGTCAGCCACCTGTCTTAAAGGAAAAGGGCCACCTTCGTGAAATATGAAGATATCGTTGTTTTTCATTTTGACATTATTATTTTTCATTTTCTTTTTAAAACTGGTGCCAGAAGTGCACAATTCGCGAAAAAGTATTTAAAACTATTTAACATATTGGTACTATGTTGATACTCTCTACGGCACCTACTGTATGATGGCATAGCGATGACGTCACACTCAAGCCAATCAGCGTTCAGAAGACAGACTCGTCGGATTGTGTCAGATAAGCTGATTGGTTAAAGCTGAGCTGGTTGGAGCTGATTGGTAAAAAACCAAAGCCTCGCCGCGGGCGACTGTATTGTCGGATAAGAACGCATTCCTTGGATAAGAACGCATTCCTGGCGTATTTTCTTTTAAAATTGCCGATATCTACGAATGGAGGCCGAAATCGGCCGTAAGGAGGTAGACAGATAGGTTTTCGGACACGGGCTACAAGATGGCTATCTCAGTTTCAATCCCCATGTTAAAGGTGGCCCTTTTCCTTTAATTGTCCCTAGCAGTGTACAAAATTTGATTGAAATCGACCCAGGGTTTCATTAGATGTAGAAGCAGACCCCCTCACGTGCGCACGTGCATGAATCCACCCCACCTGTGACACATGACCCTACATCGCTTGGTGAGTGCCCTGCCTGCCGACAGTCCAAGTTTCAGCGCAATCGGCCCAGAAACGGCTGAGTTATATGCAAGTACAGTTTTCAAGGGTTTGGCGATATACCTAAGCGGGCGGTGCCCTGTAGCCTATGCCGTGCTGACTGATTGGAAAAAGTTTAATGACATGCCGGCTATAAGTCATCGATCGGATTTCATCGGAAAATATGTCTAACGTTAACAAAACACGGTGGTATGCCTGAGTCATTTTCACGGAAGTTTATTGACTTTTTGATAATATTTTGGGTGGATATTGATCAGAAAAGAATGCGCTATCCGAATATGTGTGTTTCATGGTCAATTTTCAACGTTTTCGATACGTTATGATGTTGTAAAGGACAGCGCACTCGGCGCGCATCAAACTTTCAAATAAATTTTTCATTATTAAGAAAGTGGTAATAACAATCACCTTTTCTTTTCATTCATTGCATCACACGTGCAATTACCTAAAAAATGGTACCGCACCGATTTCATTCGGCCAAACCGTTTTCAAAGGGCACCGATTTTTCCTCTACGAGGCACGAAATCGGCCATTTTTTCACAACAATGGGTTCTGATTTGCACGTTACGCGCCCAACGTTATAAAACCATAACAATACGCTAGCTTTAGCTCTCCTCTATCGATCGGTGGCAACCGCGTGTCGCTGTGACAGCCGGTCGTCAAGATATAGGCCCGGAAAGGGACACGCGTCGGACCGATTTCGGCCGATGTCGCCGTTTTTCGCGCCGCGTGTTAAACCAATGGCGAGCGTGCCTCGTGCTCTTGACCCTACCAGAGACACACCCCTGGTCGGATCGCACCCAGATTTTGATACGATCGTTCGATTTGACCACACTTGGTGCCTGCCAAATTGCACGCTCCTACATGGCGCCGTTCCGGCGCAAGACACCCAGATGTGGATGACACTTTTCTTTTGTGACACACGTACGTACAGACCGACAACTTCTCTTTTATAATATATCCGACTAGAATACAGGTTTACGCGATAACTGTACGTTTGGATAGATATTGTTGATGGGACCATTTGTTTGGTATGTACCTATGTTTATATAAGTAGGGATGAGTTTGAAAGTTACTTTATTTAAATGTACATATAGTAGGTAGGCATGGCTTTTCGAGGAGCACTACGGATCCCAAAGTTTGGACTTTGAATTCTTAAAAAAAAAACACGCCCGCCCGCCGCCAAACGCAAACGCCGCAAAAATAAAAAACGACCGCCTCTAACCGCAAACAACGCCGCAAACGCCGCAAAAAATAAAAACCGCCCGCATCGCGTGCCCGCCCGCCGCTAACCGCAAACGCCGCAAAAATGAAAACCGCCCGCATCGCACGCCCGCCCGCCGCCAACCGCAAACGCCTCGAAAAAAACGGCCGCTCGCCGCCAAACGCTAAAACCGCAAAATGCGCCAAAGGCACGCCCGAAATGCCGACGCAAGCGTCGCAAAAATAAACAATCGCCCGCCCAACGCAAAAAAAAATACTTAAAACGCCTAAAAAACCGTCCGCATCGCACGCACGCTAACCGCCAACCGAAAACGCCTAAAAATCGCCCGCCCGCCAAAATGCAAAACGCGCAAAACGCACGCCCGAAACGCCAACGCAAACGTCGCAATAAATTAAAACAAATAAAAAATCGCCGCCCCGTCGCAAACCGAAACGTCGCAATAAATTAAAACAAATAAAAAATCGCCGCCCCGTCGCAAACCGCAAAAAAACGCAAAAACCCCGCAAACAAATCAAAGCCGCCCGCATCGCCCGCCTGCCCGCCGCCAAACACAAACACCGCCGCAAAAAAAACCGCCCGCATCGCACGCCTGCCCGCCGCCAACCGCAAAACGCCGCAAAAAAAAACGGCCGCCCGCCGACAAACGCAAACACCGCAAAAACGCAAACACCGCCGCAAAAAACCGCCCGCATCGCACGCCTGCCCGCCGCCAACCGCAAAACGCCGCAAACGCCGCAACAAAGGAAACCGCCCGCATCGCACGTATAACCGCCGCCAACCGAAAAAGCCGCAAAAGGCCCTACCCTACCCTACCAATATACATACCCTACCCATACCCTAAACCTACCCATACCCTACCCATACCCTACCCTACGTTTACCTTATACCCTACCATACCCAACTTTAACCTAGCATATCCAACTTTACCCTTCCCTACCCAAACGGCGAACCCACCTCTACCCTATACCTTACCATACCTATACTTAACCCTACCCATACCCAAAACTACATCTATCCTATACACTACCCATACAATAACCTACCCTACCCTACCCATACGTACCCTATCCTACCCTACCCTACCCTACCCTACCCTACCCTACCCAAAGCCTACCCTACCCTTCCCATACCGTACCCTACCTATACCCGGCATACTCATGCCCTACTCATACTTGACCGAGGAGTTTTACCGAATTTGAGTGCTATCGTCTAACCTGGTCTTGTATTGTCTTGTATTGTCTTGTATTGTCTTGTCTTGTATATAAATGGACCCCTGCACGTGCGCACGCGCTTACTGAGACTCCAGATGACTTATGTCAGCCACCTGTCTAAATTGTCCCCAAAAGTGTACAAAATTTGAGTGAAATCGACCCAGGGATTCATCAGATGTAGAAGCAGACCCCCTCACGTGCGCACGTGCATGAGTCCACCCCACCTGTGACACATGACCTTACATCGCTTGGTGAGTGCCCTGCCTGCCGACAGTCCAAGTTTCAGTGCAATTGGCCCAGAAACGGCTGAGTTATATGCAAGTACAATTTTCAAGGGTTTGGCGATATCC